GTCCAACAGAACTTGAAAATAGTTCATTTTTTGATTTATTCTCTCAAATGAATAAATATATTCAACAATTAATTTGTTTGTTTCATTTTAAAATTTATATTTTTGGTTTTTTTTTAATTAATCAATTAATTTTATTAATTTTAGCTCGAGTAACAATACAAAATGTTGAATTAATTGAACTTGCATATAAATCAATTTCATTTGATGATCTTCAAAAATTTTTTGGTCTTAATGCAAATATGATTAAACAGATTTGTAATGATCGTGCTTGGCAAATTGATTCAGGAGGAATTTATGTTCTTCCTAAACGCAATGGTTAGTTTAATTTATAAATTTTTATTTTAAATTTATGTTTTGGTTATATAGATAATATATCTGCACCATCAAATACAAATTTGACTAAATTGGTTGAACTTGTTTGTTTCTTAGAAAGATAAATTATCAATAGACTTCTTTTTTTCTCAATTGTCTTTTATATTTTAATAAAGAACACAACATTCATACTTCGATTAATTAACTAATTTATTTTATTTCTACAATCATCATTATACAACTTTATTAGAAAAATATTCCATTAACAATTTCTTTTTTTCTTTTGTTTTATTTTAATATTCAAGAAAAACAAAAATCATTCATTTATTGATGTCAATCAAATTAATGTTAAGTACACGAAATTCAATAATATAGTGGACAAATTATTTTCATTCGATAAAACGTTATTTGATAGAAATTCTAAAACTCATTTCGAATATCATCTTAATCTTTTTGCAACGTAATTTTAATATAAATCTTGCAAAATCGGAATCATCTCTAAAAACCTAATCAAAATAATGGTTTGAACAAAATATCGGATAATCGAATAGTTTCTCTTACTATTTCTTCTGCAAATTACTTTATTTTTGGGCTCAATTTAAACAGTGGGTAGAATTAGATTTATTTCAGTAGAAATAGTTATTATCCTCTCGCTGAACAAGAATCAACAAAAATTATCTTAACTAAAGCTGATCTATGGATCTTGTTAATCTATCTTTTCTTGTGTTTGATTTTCTGATTTTCTCTTTGTTATTGAAAAGAATTTACTTTACCAAAAATAAAAAGCCTCCTGCTTATCTTTGTTTATCTATTTTACCATAAATAGTCTGTTATTTCGTTACTATGTTGAACATAAGGTACCATATAACGAACAATTCAATTAAAACTCCTTTTCAACTAGTTTCGAATTGAGTATAGGTCTCTGAAATACTTTATGGGAAAGTTATTAAATATTTTGAATGATAATATGTTCGAGTCAAATGATGTTATTCACTGATTCTTAATGTAATATGCTCACAACTCAACATATGCGATGATTACCATTTCTATTATACTTTTTTTGTTGACTGAGAAAAACCAACTGTTACTATTGTAAATATATGTGCATACATCATTTGATTTGCGTATGTTTTCTCTATCAACACTTACAAGAACAAACGTGAAAGTACGCTAATTGTTATTTTCGTAGACAGTGCTTACTGATTGACTAGACAATTCATCATGGTAACAGTCAAACAATGACATTATCATAGGCAAACTAGCCAATCTATACAATGACCATAGCCAAATGCTCATTTATCGCACTTTGAATATTCTGACAGCAGAACGGATATAAATGATGATATGAGTTTTGGAAAGAAATTGAATATTTCAAGCATTGGTGATCTTTTCAAAATATGTAAGATAAAATCTTGAATTCGAAAATTAATTTTTCTGCAATGTCTCTAAATAGTATGTAAAATGAGTCTTTGTAGAGAAACTACTGTATTTCTATAAATATAAACTCTCGATGATCATACGATCTATTAGAATATGGTATTGCTCATTGTATACGTCGATATCCTATTGGATGGCCAGCTGTATGTGATTATTTTCGACTCAAAATGTCCTATTTAGGAAAAAGCTCGATGTCTCATCCTTCTATATATGAATCATTCGTTAATGATACAGAAATGGCTGGCAATTTTTTTTCAGCAAAACTTTCTAGACTTTTCAAAAATCGCTTTATTTTGTTGACAAACAATTCCTTGTGGAATTCTGCACTCAATAAGTCATGAATCAAGCAAAACTAAAGATGGCTCTTATGCGCCACTGTCATTTACTTCTCTTTAGGAGTCATTGTACGAGAACTACGACCAACTCTGATATACTTTGCTGAACAATTTTGATTTTGATTGCAGCAATAGATAGTGCTACTAAAGTTAGGTATATATTAGGATTTTCAACGTTCAACACTTTTCTATTGCTGAGAAATAAGAATTTCATTTCTGCCACTCAGCGATAGGAACCACTATGCACGAAATTTTTCTAAATCATCCTGCTATTTATATATGATGTTTTCAATCACCAAATTCGGTGGATATATATGTTCTACATATTAACGGCCCAAGAATTGTATTTCATCACTCAATGGGTCCGAGACAAGCTATTTTGTTGCTAAAATATACCTCTTTTTCTAGATTTGGTCTCTTTTACCTGTGCAAACGAATTCGATATCTATCTTTATCAGCTAGTACTACCAACGTTACTCTATCATAATAAACTTTCAATAGTTTTGGCAAGCACTGCTGGTCTTGGTAAGAACCCCACACAAGTATGCGATATTTTTTGGTACATTCACCTACAAGTATTGCCACATGATATCAGTCACATCTACAAAATTGACCTCTTATTCCGATGAGATTTTTAGAATTTGTAGAGCTTTGAGTTCTGAGCATTTTCATAAATAAAGAATATTGAAAAGCTGTTATTTTGAATGAGATATATCCAAAATACTTTGAGAAGTAAAAATAAAAAACTCAGAAGAAATAGTTTAATCACATTATTTTCTCTAGCTGTGTTTCAGAATCAGTGAGATTTCAAGCTGAATTTTACATGAGTGATGCAGCTTTTTATTCTGTACAAAATGATTAAAAAAGTGGAATCTTTGCCTCAAAACGGGGCTTGCACGTTCTTCTACTCGATAGATTTTTGAATAGAAATGGACTTTTTTAGCGGTTTCCATTATCATGACACAATTCTAGGGCAAAATAGATACAATATCTAGAATCAGCCTCAAAAACTGCATTAAATCATATATAATTCAAAAATTTTTTTTCTGATTCAAAATTTTCCTGTGGTCCCCCACAGGTCAATTTTGGACCGCAAAACAAAATTTCTATAAATCATATATGATTCGATGCAGCTTTTGACGCTGATTCGGAATATTGTATTTATTTTGCTTTAGAATTGTGTGATGATCATGAAAACCGCTAAAAATGTCAGTTTCTCTTCAAAAGCCTATCCAATAGGAGAAGGTGTAAGCCCTCTTTCGACTCAAACATACCAGCTTTTTTTAATATTGTTTTAATCATTTTGTAGAGAATAAAAAGCTGCATCACTCATGTAAAATTCAGCTTGGAATATCTCTGATTCTGAAACACAGCTAGAGAAAATAATGTGAATAATCTGTTTTTCTGAGTGTTAGATTATTTCTTCTTAAAAAATTTTGGGTAAATCTGATTCGAAATAAAAGCTTTTCAATTTGTTTTTTTTTAATCAAAGTGCTCAGAATTCAAAGCTCTGAAAATCGCATGAAAGTAGGAGATCAATTTTGTAGGCGTAGTTGATATCCTGTGGCATACCCGTAGGTGAATATACTAAAAAAAATCGCATACTTGTGTGAGATCCTTACCAAGGCCAGCAATGCTTGTCAAAACCATTGAAAGTATATTATGATAGAGTAACGTTGGTACTACTAGCTAATAAAGATGGATATCGAATTCGTTTGCACAGGTACAAGAAACCAAATCTAGAAAAAGAGGTCTATTTTAGCAACAAAATAGCTTGTCACTGACCCATTGAGTGATGAAATACAATTCTTGGGCCGTCGGTATGTAGCACGTATATCACCGTATATGCTCGCCAAATTTTGTGATAGGAAACATTATGGGTGAATAATGGCATTATTTTAGAAAATAATATCCACAGTGACTATTGGCATTGGATGATAGAAATGAAATCCTTATTTCTCAGCAATGGAAAGATGTTGAACGTTGAAAATCCTAACATTTACCTAACTTTAGTAGTACTATGTATTGCTGGAATTAAAACCAAAATCGTTGAGCAATGTAGGTCATCGCTTTCGTGCAAGGACTCTTAGGAGAAAACGGCTTGTGCTAGATTCTTCGAACGGTCATTCATTTTTATGAGGCTTCGTTTTCTTAGAAACGCAAGATTCGTATTTCGCATAACATTTCGTATTCGAGTAAAGCTCGAATGCCATCTAGGTGAGACAATCACAAGCTAATCATTTTTTCATCGTGTAAACCAACATTCGGGATCTTTGATTGGGCAGAAACAATCATGGCTTAAGTGCAGTCATCTATAATTAAGGCAATGCTTTTTATTCATGCATCAATTAATGATGAAAAGCCGGTACTTTTTTATTGTAACTTATCATTTTTTATGTTAATGTGACAAGGTAACATTTATGTTGAAGTTTAAAGAGAATGTTCTTTTCAAATGTATATTATAACGGGTGTCCGAGGTAAAATTACCCTAAATCGCACTGCATTTTTCTCTCCTTTCTTAAACATAAAAAAAATTCATTTTATGCCAAAACATAGAGAATTTCAAGCTCAACAAAATGGTTATCTTATTAGATTTATATGTCCTTCTTTTAAAAAGATTTAGAATGAAAAGTAAAGACATCCGAGAACTCGTACTGAGATTATACCAGGAAGATCCCAATGAAAGTGAGATTTATCATTATTTACGAGGTGTTGTTTCAAGAAGAACAGTATTTTACTGGGTAAAATCAATCAGCTCAACTGGAGCAATTGATTTCGCAGGTACGAAAGGTGGTCTAAGAGTTATTCGTACAAAAGCGCTCATTCAGAAGGGAAAAGAAAGATTATGAAGAAAAAGAGCTCGGCACGACTCTTAGCAAAAGAAATGAAAACATCACGTGGTACAATTCGTCGTATAATAAAGGGAGATCTTGGTTACGAATCTTATAAAGTACGAGTTGCCCCAAAAGTGACTGATCAACATAAAGCCAAAAGGAGATCGTTTGGAACTTGGATCAGCAAAAATATCACAAAATCGATGACAAAAAAGAAATTGTTTGCCGATGAGAAGTACTTCCGCATCAACGGTATTGTCAAGAAACAGAACGACCGAATTTACGCTGCTACACGTGATGAAGCAGATGATAAAGGTAGTATTCACCATACAATGCAGTTTTCTTCTGGTGTGATGGTTGAGTTACGGATGTGCTGTGAAGGAGTGACACGATCAGTAATCATTGAAGAAGGTGCTATCAATAGTGAACGATACATCAATGAAATTTTACCTGTGGCACTGGAAGACCGTGAAAAAATGTTAGACAGTGACTTCATCTTTCAGCAAGACAATGCACCAGCAGACAGGGACAAACTGACGCAACACTGGTGTAAAGAATATTTTCCACATTTTTGGACGAAAGATCGTTGGCTTGCGAACAGCCCAGATCTCAACCCACTTGATTATTCCATATGGGGCGAACTCCATCAACAAATAGACTGGCGTCGTGTAACGAGCAGACAAACATTAATTGATGAAATAAAACAAGGGATGAAAAAGATTCGAACTGAAATTGTGCGTCGCAGTGTCTGCAGTTGAATCTATCGAATATTGCAACGTAACGGAGATTATATTTTTTTAAATAAATATTCCATTTTGTAGAGCCTGAAATGCTCTATCTTTTGGGGCAAAAGGAGATTTTTTCAATGATTAAGAAAGGAGAGAAAAATGCGGTGAGATTTAGTGCAATTTCACCTAGGACACCCAATAAAATAATAAAAATTCTTTTGTCCATAATGATAGAGACCATCAAAGATTTTATTAAAATCGGCGGAAAAAAAGAATCAGTTTTGAATAAAAGAATGTCTTTATAATAATTAGTATATTTCTTCCATATTTTATTGCTATTCAATAACATTATCATTAATCGTGTTTTAGACATTGACATCAACTTCTAGGTATAATGTTTTCAAATGTTATCGATAACTGACGTTGACTATGCCTTTGTGTGTAAGCGATAAGCATTTGATAGGCTTGAGATGAATATCTTGACTGTCCACGACCGTCACATACAATCAATACCACTTTTGACTCCTAGTCATTTCAGCCAAAGATAAATTAACACTATAAGTTAAACTACCCTATTGAAAATTAACATTTACTTGATATAGCACAACACATTTGCTTGAATATTGATCATATCGTCGTCTTTTAAAGATGCATTGCAACGAATAATTAAAATTTTGATAATTTGTTCGTTGTGCTGGCTCTGATCCTATGTCGCAAAGACTGGAACGGTAAAACCGCAGTAGACCGTTGGTTTTTAACCGATTTTCACTACGTCGGATAGCTGTACGAAAATGTTTGAGGAGTGATTTTGAGTCATTAATAATTTTTAGCGATGCCCATGAATCTCAAAAACCAATCGTTATAAGCATAACCACAGTGACTATTTTAAGATGATGTTCTTATATAAATGAAGTGGATATTAATCGTAAGGCTATCTTAACTAAACATATATGCTTATAGAGAGACGAAGAAAAAAGAATTCATACAAATCACGTTGTAAATAACTCGAGACAATAGAATAATAACAGAAAAACAGCATGTACAGCTTACAATGAATTCAATTCATTTCCCGATCGAATATTTTACATCAGAGATTATAGGCAATTAATTGACATTTACAAAAATTTAGTAAGTCCAGAAATTATAAAAGATTTTATTTTATTTTAAATTTAAATCGAATTTTTATAAATTTTAAGAATATTAAATAAATTTAAAATAATTTAAATTACAGATAAATATGCTTAAATATTTTAAGCACAATTTCAATAAATTTAAGTTTGAATTTTTATCGTTGTCTCTAGGATTCAAAAGAAAACTTTTATCTCTCTGGTCTATAAGTTCCTTTTCTAATACTGACAGCCTTTCCAGTGAGTTATTAGTCATACAGAGATAGTGGTGAGCCACCATTTCACTGTCCCATCGATTTAAACTAATAGCCACATGAAGAACCTATGGGGATAGCAGACATTCGCGATCATCGGGCGTCTTTCTGTTAGAAGGAGGTTAGTAGCACCAAACAACCAGTCATCGCCGCAGGTTATTTATCTAACTACTGATACATCAGTTTTCGTCACTGATGTATATGTGACCATAAGCCATAGTATTTTGGTTGTATACGGTCTTATACAATCGTCTTTGACGAAATACTGCACCCATATACATCAACAACATACGTTTTTATTCTACGGTAAATTCCATTTGAATCTACAGCTTTCTCTGCTACTTCTGCTATCTTTATCCTATGCTCTCTAGTCTACGTCATCTTCTACTACGATCCTTCCTATATGTCGCATCTTCTATCTATATTCCCACGATAGCTACCTGCTCTATATCAGCAAACCTATAGCTATCATTCGATATCTATAACCTATAACATAACCCGTTTTATCCTATCGTATACATTCTACTCTACTTGAATGCCTTATAGTCTACATTCCTGTCCTATAGATCCATCCGATGTTTCCTATACTAATACTTCATACCGAATGCGCCCTATTCTGTATTTATAGCCCCTACTTCTACTTCCATAGTATGTGTCTGTACATTATACTGCATAAGCAATCATTCCAGTATCCTAGTGCATCTCTTGTCATCATTAGTTTTCCACATATGTGATGTCAAATATATCATTGACGATCTCTTTTTACGTCCCATTCGTTCTTTCTTTCCAGCAGTTCCTTCTTTCTATCTACTATCATTATTATTTTCTACACGTATCTTTTCACATTTACCTGTATCATATAAAAACCCTGTTCGGCCAAGTTTTAAGCATGGAGAAGTCTTACTGGTAGAGAACCAGATAACGAAAACATCTGATTGGCTGAATTTCCAGTATCAAGAAACTCTATTGGTCGACTTTTTAGTATCGAGAAATCCCATTGGCATAGGTTTATGCGAGAAAAACACCCGATTACTGATTTTTCGGCATAAAGAAATTCTATTGCTCTACTTTTTTCGACCAATCTGACACCGAACAAACAGATGAATTTCCGTTGTCAATACTCATTCTTTCAGGATTGAGAATTATAACTTTGTATATTATTATTTTTCACTTCAGATATTTCATTCAAATCTTTTCAATTATGACAGACCTGTCGAATTGCGCAAAATGTGATAGAAAATATGATATCTTTGACGATGAAGACGAGGCACATCCAAATATACATACACTAAGTCTCTATAAATGGCATCATAAAGCTAAGGGGAAGACATCGTACTTTTGTATTTTACTGTGCTTTAATGTATTTTAACGTACTTTAATGTACTTTGTATATTTTGAGGTACTTCAAAGTACTTCAAAATACTTCAACGTACTTTAATATACTTTGTGTATTTTAAAATACCAAAGTACGATGTTTTTTGCTTGCATGGAACACACACTAAACAACGAGAACAACGACTTGAAGAACAACATGACCATGAAAAAAAGAGAAAAGAGTAAGATATTTAAAATATTTTCATTGTTTATTCAAATAACGTTTTAGAATTACTGAACGGCGAGAAAAAATTTTAAAAGCTGAAGAGGTAGCAATTATGTAACTTAATTTGCTCTAATATTTTTTCAATTTTAGGCAGACGATGATATATCATCTATTAATTCTGGAAAAGAATGTCTTAGAAAAAGATGAACGCCAATGGAAAGAAAAACATGAAGAAATAAAAAACACTAACAATTACGTGCATTAACTGTTGACGATGTTACACATGACAGAATATCAAAAATAGCGATTAATAAAAAGAAAACAATTGATCAACCTAGAGCTTTAACTCAAAAAGAACAAGTTACATATTATGTTTGTTAACTTATATTATCCTGTTATTAGATTTTCAATTATTTTCTTTATTCATTTAGAAAAAACATAAAAATGATATAAGAAAATTCGGTATGTTTCTTCATTATGATGACACACAAAGATTTTTTGAAGAACATTTGGAATTAGTTTGTGAAGCAACAACAAATTATTTAGTTGTTTGATGTATTGATTTAGAGATTGAAAAAGTAAAAAGTCTTTTGACATAAATATGAAAAAAAAATTTTCTTTTTTTAGAAACATAGTTTAATAGAATACGTTAGTCGTCAAACAATGATTGTAAAATTTATCCTTGAATTAAGTAAAAGTTTAAAAGCTGATCCTCGCAAATATATTCGTCCATTTTTTACAAGGTAAAATCATTTCTTTTTATTTGAAAATACAGAATTAAAAATTTTATTTAGAATGAAAATGGCTGATGATGAACTTCGAAAATATATTCAAAAACGAACTAAACAAAAAATCGAAGAAGCTGTCAAAAAATATGAAGAAGAAGAATGAAAAAGAACATGTAGATCTAGGTTTAGGCCCATTTGAAGTCACACATTTGTTACCAAAAGTAAACTAGATAATATCTAAATCTTTCATTTAAAACTCAATTTATTTTAGGATTTACAAAAATGTTTTCAGTCTCGTGTTGTTCGTCAATTATCATCTGCTCTATCAAAAATGTCTTGCCAAGAGACAAGTTATTATTTTCATCTTCGCGTTAAATCAGGCTTATGAATACCAAATACAAATAAACATTGATAAATAAGACTAGAATTTCTAAATTAATCCTGTTTTTTACGAAACTTTATTCTAATAAATTAGCAGAGAAAAGATTTTTTCAAATTTCACAAGAACTGACTTATGTCAAAATTTATTTTTTACAGATGTTGTAGTTAATTATTTATCGAATATTTACCATTCATCTTGACTTCAAGAAAGGTTTCATTTGAAATAAATAATTCAACGGTCATTACATGTGAAGTTTTATCTTTTCTTAGTCTCTAATCAAGAGTTTAAATCTTATATGATTTACAATTAATTAAAGCAGTTATTTTTATCTTTCAAATCTATTATTATTAATGAAAATATCAAATAAATATTTAAGAAAAACTTATTTTTATTGATTATTGAATTCCAATATGGATACATATAAATATAATGAATAAAATAATTAAAAATATTTATTACTCATTTACATACGAATACTGGATTGGAAAGATAAATATGTTTTATTTTCAACAAGTCTAATGAATATTATCATTATCATTAAATAGAAATATCTACTATAAATCAAAGACTAGGATAATCATAATATAACAAAGATTATTAATTGTCTATTATATCAAAACGATCACATTCAAATAATTCGAAAATCAATTTTTGTAAATCGAATTATACTCAAAAAAGTTTATCATAAGAATTGAATTTTGAAAGTGTCAATTTTCAAGAAATTAGCGAGTAAGTTACAAGCACGAATCTGTCTATCACGCAACAATATGTCATTTGAATATCTTTTAAAGGTAAAGGAAAAAAATGATATAAACGTGACAGAAAAATCGATATTTTAAGATTTAACCAACACAAATGTTATGCTGATTTTTGTTTCATGTTATAGCTTTCAGTCCAAAAAATACTCAACCGTCTTTATTGAAATGAGCGTTAATGTAACCGTCACATATGCAAACGAAACATATTTTATCGGAATTTTATTAGTATAATATTACTTGA